ACTAAAAGTTTTCATCTTGTACTAGATGGGCTCACCATTTCAAAGTTTTCCCATGTGTGAGTCCAAGATTGTGAAATGCCAGATAATTATATTCCTATGAGCAGATATTCTATCTTGTTTAGATTTGCCATATTCATGGCAACCAAACATGTGATAATATCTGACCTTATGAAAGGTATTCAGATGCAATTCCCAGTTGGCTGCACATAACACAATCAATATCTCACTCTATTGACTTCTGGCAGCACAGGATGTATCAAGCTAGGCAGAGACACCAACCATTCCAAAAACGCCAATGAGCTGAAACTTCCAACCTGCCATCCAATTTCCATGCCTAGAAGCAACGGTGCCACAGAGACGATACAATACGGTATCAGGCGTTTATCTGTATTGTCTCAGAATTGGAATACCCAAAAATACCGGATTTGTGTTGTCTCACTTTCCTGAGACATATACATGTATCGTATTTGAAAAGTGAGAAATGTATTCTGTATCGTCTCAGATGACTGATCCCACCAAAACCGTATTTGATACATAAGATATTTGGCTGTATTGAAGAAAAAACGAAAAAAAACGAAGACGAATTTTTTTTTTTTTTTCATTTTTAAATCCAAATCCGATACAATGTATTTTTTCACCAACCAAGGAAATACTGATACCGGTATCAGGCTCAAAATAAATACGATACGATCCGATACAAATACATGTCTTGTATCTGTGGCACCGTTGCTAGAAGTAATGAAAGAAAAACTGTTTTGAGCTTCTAATGCTTAAGATTAACTCCTCCTGAATCAATACTTCTTTTTGGCTCTTGAGAATCTACTGATTAAGTGAAACATTGATGGGTTGTTTGATTGAAGCCATACATGATGTCAGTGGTGGGCTGCTAGCTAGACTTTTGACCCAAAAAGCGTAACGTAGCGGCGCTTTTTTTGCATCAAATAATGTATGTTAGCGGATTTTTGCTACATTACGCTTCGCTACAGCACTTTTAGTGGCAAAAACGGCCCAAAAAATGCAGTAGCACAGCGTATTGGGCCCTTTTTTGCGGCCCACACGCGTAGCGTTAGTGGTGTAGTGGCGGAATTCTGCTGCTCTATGCTTAACACTGTGGTGGTCCAGGCTGTTGTGCGCAACGAAACTGCCAAAACCCCTACCTTATAACCTAAACCACTTACATATATGAATATATTATTGCATAATCAGAATCTACATACAATTTTACCCATAGTCACTCACTACAACTATACCTCTATCTCTATTAGTTTAGAAGATAATCCAATATAAAGGTTAAAGCCATACCATATCTAGTCATTAATTAGTATTTAATAGTAGTTTACCACATATATATAATTACATACACATAGATTATTACATCGGCAGGCCTCCACCAGTAGTGCAGACCATTTATGCAATTCTTGCATGCATATGTGCAACCATTAGGCCTCCACTTAGTTACTTAATTGAATTTACGCAGACTTTGCATAAATGCATGTGGACAGAAAAACCTCCACCAGGCAGTGCAAGTGAAGCAGTTATGCAATCCTTACATACAGTAGTACCATATTTAGTTATTTCAACAGCATAATTCGCTCAATGCATGTACTCTTTGCAGGAGGCAGTGCAAACCACAAGGTCACCACCAGCAAAATCACCTCAACTGCATCACCACCAGCAAAAATAACTCAGAAAATAATATATAAGGAGGCCTCTCCTTCACCAATTCCCCCCATCATCACCCAGCCGGTTCATCCCCTCACAACCAGCTCAGTGGTCATCATCATCATCACTCAGCAGCCCAGCTCCCAGCCAGAAAGCTCAAGTGGTCATCAACATTCAAGACAAGTCAACACCAGCAACAACAACAACAACAACAACACCAGCACCAACACCAACAACAGCAACCAACAGTTTCACTAATTATCCAGAATCACCGTAAAACCATAAAACCCTATAAGGCCCCGTTTGGCCGTCCATGATTTGTAATTTTGAGTTGAGGTTTGGCAGGAGTTTGTGCAAAAACCTTATATTGTTTCATATCGCACGGTCCAAATCCCAGCCAAACTTAGCCAAATCACAAATAATGATTTGCGGCCAAACGGGGCCTAAAATATTCTACTTGGATTGTTTTCACACCCACATTCACCGTGTAAAGGTTGTACTACCATCTTGTACTTGAATTACATACTGATCTAGGTCTGATAGAGACTACTACATATAAAGTTTTCTCTGTCATAAAGTTACGCCACAACAATAAAATAAATTGTTGTCAGAATTCTTGTGTAGTAAATAGAGGGGAAGGTCTTTCAAACCACCCATAACAGTAAATATTATCTAGTGAAATATCATTATTGTTATTTTCCCCTCAAGGACTGCCAACCCATCCCAAAGGAGTTCTCACAACGCTAACAGGAATTCCACTGTGTTATGCTACACTAACCGCTATGGTTAGTGTAGCGGCCCACCGTTGATGATGTTCTATTGATTATTTAATGCTCTGAATCTTCCTTTTTTCTCATTGGTGTACATCTTGAGAGTGGTTTGATGTTTATTGAAACTTGAATTTTTTTTCCCTCCATTTAGAACAGAAGAATTGGAGTGAGCACACAGTGTGGTACAGTGGGTAGACAGTGAAAAGTGGCTGCTTATTTTGGATTCCAGAGCTCTGAAACAAAAACTTGAAGTCATGAGACTTGGTCAGGTGGTGCATAATAGCTCCTAAAAAATGAATATGAAATCATAAAAGCAAAAAATAAAGTTTGAAAATTTGTGAAAAATAAAAAATAAACTTGATTTTTTTCAAAAGCTTTGATATTCATTTTTGGGGAGTGAGATTGCTGAGAGAAAGAAAGAATGGAACATGGGAAGAATGATTATACATGAAAAAAATTGGAACCAAAAAAGGTTTAGCCAGGTTGGTGGTCCAGATTGGTGCCAAAACAGTAAATTCTAGTGCTTTACTGCAATGTGGGCTGGTGAATGCCCACTCAACAGCTGCTTGAAGCCAGCTGGAAACCAATTTTTCCCAAAATTTTCATTTATAATCATTCTTCTAATATCCCAATCTTCCTTTCTCTCAGCACTCTCACTCCCCCAAAATGAATTTCAAAGCTTTTGAGAAAAATAAATTCTATTTTTTATTTTTCACAAATTTTGAAACTTTATTTTTTGCTTTTATTATTTCATATTCATCTTTTGGGACCTATTATGCACCACCTGACAAAGTCTCATGATTTCAAATTTGTGTTTTGGAGCTCTGGAATCCAAAATAAGCAGCCACTTTTCACTTTCTAGGCACTGTACAGACAGGCAAGTGGGCACTAGGGAAAGGAAATGAGTAAAAAGAATTTTGAATAAATGAATAACAGCTGAAAGTGCTGAGTATATTTTGCTTTGAAGAGAGAGGAATTTTCACTACAAAAATTAACTATTTTGCCCCAAGGATGGGAAGCAGCATATTTTTTGGTACATTTTTTTACAAAAATGCCTCAAGCTAATTTTGGGATGTTTGGGGCATTTTTATTTATTTATTCTTTTGACAAAAATGGCCCATTTTAGCCTAATTTTTACTGCTGTGGCATTTTGTAAAAAAGTGCAAAACAATGTGCTATTTCCATTTCCCAGCACTGAAAATGCTATTTCTCCTTGGGGCAAAATAGGAAATGCTTGGATGAGGAGACTGAGTCAGGGTGTTGATAGACACACTACCTACCCCCTTGTGCAGACCCACTCCCCACCCGTCTGAAAGAGGTGTGGACTAGAACCTGCCCCTCTTGGAAGGGTGGTTTTTATCACACTCCCCTCTGTGTGATGATACCCGCATATATGCAGGGGGGTGTGTAGTCTACCCTGCCCTTCTTGGAGGGGCAGGTTGTACCACACTCTCTTGCTTGGTAGCCTGGTAGGGGAAGGGAGAAATTTATTCTCCCTTCACTGATGTAAGCAAAACTGCTGGTACAGTTGGGAGTGTGATAAAACCACCCATTCGGAGGGGCTGGGAATGGATGTGCATGAGGTGTGTGTGTGTGTGTGTGTGTGTGTGTTTATCAGTCTCCTCATCCAAACATTACCTATTTTGCCCCAAGGATAAATAGAATTATCAGTTCTGGGAAATAGCACATTCTTTTGCACTTTTTTACAAAATACCACAGGGGTCAAAATTAGGCTAAAATTTTCAAGTTGGTCTACAAACAAGATATGGGTTTTTATGAAATATGAATGCATAAATGTTGGCATACTTAGCTGGTACCAAAAAAAACTGTATAGGGTATGAAAAAAATTTGGCCACATATACCAGCAGCAGATGGAACCATCATGATCATTAAACTTGGCTGGAATATCCCAAGATTTTGGGAGAAAATAATAGCAACCAGCAACCAACAAGCAAGATTGTATTTCTTGGAAAAACCATTAATCTTATGATAAAACTTTACCAAATCAGCAAGATGGCCGATCAGAAAAGTGGCTAAAAAGCCAGTTGTGAACCATCCTAATTGATGGAATTAAAGAGAGGACAGTGAAACAGAATCTAAGTTCTTGACTGTTTGATTAGGGTTTCATGTGTACTTGCAACCACCATCTGATGCTATTCACAGCTGACCACTGGAGGACTTCCCGTCGCGATTTAGAGCGCTTTTTAGACCTCTCTCAGTCTTAAATTAAGAAAGAAATTGAGATTCCAACCAGCTCATGTGAGAGCTGTTTCTGGAAGGCTTCAGAAAATATTTTTTTTTTGATAAAAAATTTAGATCTAGGGGGTGTAAAACAACTTCTGGGAGGGTCGTAGATTGCAACGGGAAGTCCTCCACTCACAAGAGCTTTTCCTAAATTGCCTGGTTGGAGTACGGGTCTCTGGGAGACAACAAAAAGGGGAAACGTGTTGAATCGCAGCCGCAGCTGACCCAGAAACGCGCTTTGATCTTTCAAGGTGCGCCAGGTTGCGCTGAGCGCAATTTTTTTATGCCACCAAGACCATAAGAGTTTTACACACATCTGATTCCATCTCATCAACAAATCACCATTCACGACCGCTCCTGAATACCTTCCGAACCGATCCCGCTATGGATCTTGACCCTACACATCAATCTACTCACGACCCTGCAGCTGAGGCGATTCTAGCCGATCCAGAAAAGGTGACAATCGTGAGTGACTAGATAAATCATTTATCAACAAATATCTTCTTCTTTTTTCTGTTTCTTCTCAGAATAGTTAAAAAAACCACAAAGATTTTTCTTGAAAGAAACTGATGTTTATCTCTTGTTTTCATTTCTTATGCTACAATCTCATTCAGTTACCTGGGGATAAGTACGATGCAATGACCTTCTCGCTGAAGGATGAGGATCACACCCTTGGAAATTCACTGCGCTACATAATCATGAAAAAGCAAGTTTTGTTTCTTTTTCGTGTCAATTTATTTGGAAGTCAGGGATTGAAAGCCTGACACAGAAGCACCAAACTCATCTCAATCTTTGTTCTCCCGCCGACTGGATCCAAATTGAACCGACTGAAACGACAGTCCGGAAGTCGAGTTTTGCGGCTATTCGCTGCCACACCCTTCCGAACCAAAACTGCACCTCCGCATCCAGATGTACGACAACAAGTCAGCGGCCGGCGCATTGGCTAAGGGCCTCGATGACCTCGAGCAGCTCGTCCTTGTCCTCGCCGAGCGCTACCGTGCCGAACTTGACCGGGGAAAATTCGAACGCTTCGAGGAACCTACAGTCGATGAACGACTCGAGGACATCAAGCGCCGCAAGTACCCTCATCTCTTGAAAGATCCTCAAGGCGATATCACCATGAACTCTTGAACTTCCTCCCACCCCTTCTCACAAACTTGTCATCTCTGTAATACCACCCACACAGAATTTGTTTTATTTTTTGTTTCTAATACATACAAAAGAGAAAAAAATCTCACCCAACCTAATCGAACCATAACAGGATTGCGATCAAACTACACAATTCAAGATTTAACAACTCAATCAGTGCCATGTCATCTCTGAAATTTATTTCTAAATTGAGGATTGAAGATAGATCTATCTTGCCGGTGTCAGAACATCGTTATCTACAACCTGAAGAATGGTGAAAAGGCTATGTGAAACACCAGATGGTCCGAACATAGTGACAATCACTACCTGGTTAGGCATTTGACAGAGGTCCTTCTAATCAAACAAGCAAGATATTCGACATCAGTTGATTTCCGCTTCTGTTCTTAATGCCACCAAGATGATTTTGGCCCCATCTGAACCGAGTCAGGTTTGGGAAATTTGTTAGAAGTTTTACGGTTTGCAGCGAATGGCAACAAGCATAGAGTTAACTGGATGACTTCCCGTCGCAATCTACGACCCCCCAGAAGTTGTTTTACACCCCCTAGATCTACACTTTTTATCAAAGAAATTTTTGTTCTCAAGCATCCCGGCAATAGCTCTCCTAGGTCTAAACTTTTTATCAAAAAAAAAAAATACTTTTTCTGAAGCCTCCCGGCAATAGCTCTCACATGAGCTGGTTGGAATCTTAATTGCTTTCTTCATTTAAGACTGAGAGAGGTCTAAAAAGTGCTCTAAATCACGACGGGAAGTCCTCAGGCTCCACTGTCAGTGCGGGGAGACCTCGGGCATTTGCTATCTCCTCAGCCAATCGTAACACGGTCGTGTCGTTGAAGAATAAGGGTGAAAATAAACTGAATTGTTCTCATTAGTCCATGCTTCACTTTACATACTAAATATATTGGGAAGAACTGATATTTCAAGGTAAATCTAAGACTGAGTTTTATGAGATGGACTACTACTCATCACAAGCTGATTTGTTTATGTATGCATGAAAAAATAAAGATAAAAAATATAGCAGGCTTTATAATCAATCGAAAATATTACGGCAGCGAAATGGGTAATTCAGCTATTCCTCTTTTATATGATAATAATTTAGCAACTAGATATGATATGATCAAAACACATCCACTCTTCCTAACTAGTTTCTCGAGTTGACTTCTCTGTGTTGAAGTCCACGGCATCCCGATCGATAATCAGTTTCATGCCCAATTGTTGCGGCATTCAGTGCCCAACCCAAGCTCTGGTCCTCTCAACCAAGAACCACTACATACCCAGATTTTTGCATCAAACCAATCAATCATCTCGAATCATCTTCACTGATCGAAGATAAATATTAAAACTTACTATTTTACTTCCGGCTTTGGAGGATTTCATAGTCACGCCGTTTCGTCTCTGCATACGGTGAGCAAACAAGACGCACGCGAAATCAGCTTATTGAAATTTTTCCCAGTATCAACAAGTTGATTTTAGTCCTTACCACCGTTTGAATCATCAAATCCCTAATAGAATTCGGGGCAGATGTAAACAGAAGCGTCAAAACTTGAGCTCCGGCTTGATGGCATGCAATGTCGATTAAGCTAAAGGGCATTGATTCAAAGTGTTCTTCAGCAAGATTGGCATTTGCCACTCCAGAAGATGATATGATATACTGACGCTGGTCTCCCATGTCCATACTCGCATATCGATTTGACGTAGTCCTCAACAATCCTGCTTTCCATTCCCGAAACTTTGAGGACCTTTTCAATCGCCTTTGCCCCGAAATTATCTATGGACAACTCGCAAGCCAATTGAGTCTCGGTCAATCTTTCGAACAGTTTTTTCTGTATGGCACCAGTAGAATGCTCTATTAAATGAAGAATCACAAAGTTCTGCGCGGACGTGGAAGGCAGGATTAGAAAACTGATCCCACATATCCAAGAGGCTCTCGTCACTTACCCCCCACTGCTGCACAGCACAAGAATAAATATCTGCAAGAAGCTCTTCCACCACATCTGCCTTGGCGGTTTCATTCCAGTTCTCGAGGACACTTTGGACGATCAACGATCCCACTTCATCTTTCGCAGTTGCAGCTGTAAGGTTACCCGGTTAACAAACCTTGATAGATGCGGAATAACATGATCTCTCACTCACCCCATTCGCCTTTTAGCAACTCGTTCAGACTACGTTCCAAGCCCCCCGATTTACCCGCACCATCTCCGTATTGATTCAGTCCTGTGGCCTTACCGTTACCGGTGCTTAAAGATATGGTACTGCTGGATCCCCCACCAACACTTAGAAGTCGGGCCCAAACATGTCCAGCACTCTTATGCGTCACAGTCTCTTTCTTCTTTAGGAGTTCTTGCGAGACCATTCTTCGAACATGGTTTTCTCCTTCTTCGTCAACGTCAATCATTTTCTGAAGGCAATGGGTTGCAAATGTATCCTGAGCAAGCGTAACGATTTGACCGCAGATCCGCTCTGCAAGCTCCAAACGCTCTCCGGAAGTCGCGTGTTCAATTGCCCGCGAAACTAAAAAATTACCTGTGGCGTAAAACGATCTCAAAAAAAATCAGTAAAGTTGTCTCGCATGAATTAGCATGCAAAGGGGAATGTTCTAACCAAAGCGATTGGTCATGAGTTCAAGGCTATACTCAATCACCAGTCTCGTAATCTCTTGGCGCGGTTTTTCTGTGTGGCGAGTTAGGGGATCGGTCGGGTTTTTTTCAACGCCTGTTGATTGTGTCAAAGCTGATTGTTTGAGCTTTTGCTGCATAAATATACTTGCTTGCTGGTCGTTGTGCTTGGTGATCCTGCGTATGAAATACTACAAAATCATTGGGTTAGTCTTGAGGCCGCTTTAGCGTAAGGAATGTGTCTTACCTCATAATCACAATCAGTGTCACCTGCTAAGAGCGCTCGGTAGTTGACTATTCCTGGAGCATTCGAGGGTGGTGCACCATGAGATGGGGCAGGGTTTTGTAAGGATGGTGGAATCATCGTAGTTCCCGTGCCAATTGGGTTCACGCGTAACTAGACGAGATGTAGAGACAGACCATCAATCAGCACCAAGTTAACAAACATGACTTGTTTCTTTTTTGGGTCACTCGACTAAGAGTGAAGGAAGCTCGGTACACCGCCCACCTACCGTAGAGTAATCTAACGGTCCAAATTGCCGCTGAGGAAAACCAGAAACAACGACGGGATTGACACCGGGAACGATTGGGCCAGATGTTTCATCTGGTTGGCGAGGAGGCAGGGGTACGGCATTGTTTTGGGAAAGCGGAAGACCGTTGTTGAGATTGGTGTCTGTATTTAAACCCGCACCAACATTGGGATTATTTAAAATGCTGGGATTCCCTAATGGAACTAATCGGGTATGCAGAGGACTGGGGAAAGTATTACCGGTCTGCAGATTAGCGGAAAAATTGCTACCGCTCGGCACATTGTTGACCAGCTTGACATTGGCTTGATGCTCTCGTTGTGATTGTGCACCCACCAGACTAATGTTAGCCTTCAGTTGGTGAATCTCTTGGTCTTGTTTGACAGTCTTGCGCTCGAGTTGCTCAATTCTCAGCAGGAGCTGGCTCACAAGCTCATTGGTGTGAGATTGCACAGCCAAGGGTGAAGCTAACGATGGGCGAGAATTATCAGTAGGAGGGGAACAATGAGATAATGGAAGTGGGGCGTCTAGTGGTTTCCAGACCCCCGGTGATTTCGGGCGTAATCCCGACTCGACACTAGGGTTTTTGGACTTGGTAACATTTGACTTGGAGTAAAAAGCTTCCTGAAGAATACGAAAGAGCGAGGCGATCAGAGACGGCAACAGAAAAATGATCAGAAGTCAGTATTTACCTCACCGAACGACATAGGTAGGGACCACGTTGGTTCGCTGGAAACATGGTCGAAGGCAAAAGTGTGCGGTGAGGGATATCGAGCGTCCAGCTTCTTAAGAGGGTGACTGTATGGGTTGTTTTCATCAGGTGACATCGAGTATCCATTGAACATCCTGTTCTTGGGATGAGAGCCGCCGCCATCAGGGGCTAGGAAGGAGCGACCGTAGAGGGTGCTGAGGACGTTGAGTGAAGCTAAGAGCCGAGAGCCTAGAATCGCATTGCCATCTACCTCGACAGAGGATGGTCAGCTGAGGGACGCGCTGTATTCGATGCGTGATCCGGTGGGGAGTTGTTCGGGCGGTCAAGGGAGACAGGCTCCGGTTGCTGGCGCGGGGGGTTCAGATGAGGATCACGCTCCTTGAGTAAAGGGGCCGATCGGTTGGTGCTAAAGCCATTGTGGTTATTGAGCTTATCCTGATGAGCAGGATGAGATGTGCCACTTGGAGCAGGAGCAGCCCACATACTTGAGCTGAGCGCATAGCCGCCCGAGCTGATGCTGCCGCAAATCGCGGCACTCGGTTGGTCTCGAGTGGGGGGAAGGTCCCGGGGATTGGAAGAGGCAACGCGGCCGCCGGTTTCCGCGGCTTCTGGCCACACCGAATTCTTTAAAGCAGTGTTGGATATTTGGCCAAAGTGAGCCTGGCCATGATCAGCTATTCTTGAACCGGGGCGAGAGCTTCCGATAGCTCCAACCGATCGGACGGGTTCACAGTTAGCCGAGGACATTGTGACTTCGGGCGACGCCCGACTTGCACCGGCGGTAAGAACAGAGAGTCTTCGGTCGGCAAACGGGGGCTTCCCGGGAGGCATCGACTCGTTAGAAAGGTTTGAGGGCTGGTTCTGGTCTTTATTCTGGGCGGTCATTGAGGTAAGCGGGGAGTGGCGGCAATTAGAGCCAGCGGATGAATCTGGGAGAGGGAATTTGTTGAGTAATAAACTGGTGATTGACATCAGAAAACAAAGTGCGGTAAAACCGGTGGGAGGGGGATTCCAGTAATAATAATGATCCCACTGTTTTGAAGGGAGACTCTCAACTGATTTGAAAGTGGATAATAGGATGGCGAGGAAAAACGGTCAAGACAGAAAAGGCAGGTTGTTTTTTTAATGAAGAAAAGACGAAATAAAAAAGCAGGTGGGGGTAGTTGGAGTAGGCAAGTCCAGTGAGACTTGTAGAGAAACTGATGATAAGATCAATCGGAATGACCACAAAATATGAAAAGGAGCTTGGGAAAGGGGTCGAAAGGAAGCAATCGGGGGTCAGAGTGATAGAGCTGAGCAATACTGTACTTGGTAAGTTGGAGGGAATGAAGAAAACTTGGTTTGGAGCCTGGGGGGAGGGAAGCACTGACGGTTCTGAGGAGAAGGAGGGAGGGTGTGGCGAAGAGACGGAGAAGAGCTTGCTGTTGGATGGAATGACGGAGGAGGAAAGATGAACTTATTTCACGAAGAGAACAGCCGGTCAGCCAGAAAGAGAGAGGCAGAGTGAGGTTTTAACAGCAGGAACGATTCAGCTGGAAAGAAAAGACTGGGTCGCCGGATTCTTATGAAGCCAGATCGAATATGGGGGAGCATAACACTCCAACGGCCACAGTAGATAACATAACCTGAATCACTCAACTGCCACAGTGAAAAAAAAAGGCATGAGCAGCAGGGAGATCATTAATCAGGACTGAGAGTGAGCAAGTGATGGCTTTCAAATGATTGATAAGTCGTAATGAAAAAGAAAAAAAAAATCCAACCACCATTATAACAGGCTCGGGCCAACCTTTGACGGAAGCCAAGTACAAATTAGGCGAGGGCAGTCAAGTTCTGCCCATGAAGATCATTACTTGGATGAATGCAGCGTTCACCCTTTTTCTCGAGTTTATCTAGCACTTTCAGAAATAAGCCGAATTGACTGTTGCATTTCTTCAATGAAATTAGTTTGAAAAAACAAAGACCAGCCTGCCGGTGGTACATGAGTCAAGGATGCTCTAGTTTGGAATGAGGAACGGGGAGCATGATGGACCCCATCCGCAAACTGGCTGCACCGGCAGAGACGCGTTACAAACTCTTTTGAGCATCAATCAATCAAGTCAATATCCGTAGGTATTCAAGGCCCCACTTATTTAAGGAAACAAAGCGCAAAGCTCTGGCTGACGTGAATAGATCAACCCAACAGACTGCTGGTCAAGAATTGCAAGAGGAAAACACAATAGGGTCTTGATCGGCAGAGCGGAGGGTAAGGGGCTTCTCCATATTGATGGGTTTAATTTCTGATCAGATGACGTAATGACCTGATTTCATTCGTGCCGGCCGAACCAAGAGACTCCGCCGGTGAAAGGATCAAGATATGACGAGCTCAAGTCTCGTCTCATGCGCAGGTAAGACAAGCCGGAGCGGGTGTAGACCATCCTGAGGCCAATAAGCAAAGGGAGCTGTTTTCAGAAAGGTATGACGACGTGAAAAGGTCCGAGTACACTTGGCCACCCGGTTCCATACTGGCCGAGTGATGAGACACTGGTGCATTGCGCCGACCGCAGAGACCCTCCGGGGCCTCACCGAGAGACGTGGTCATGAGGCAGCTATCGTGCTAACTTAACATGACAAGTCCCTCCCTGGTGGCAAGCTTAACAAATCCTCTCGTGACGAGAGTCGTGTGCGGGCAGGTTTGGGCGGCAGCGGAGGGCCGGGCAATTCGCATCAGTCACACCGGATTCATAACTTCAAATTGCTAATATTTACACAGATGAGTTATAAAGTAATCCTGTCTTGAATATAAATTAATCACTAATAGACTGCACAAACCTCCTGCCCACTTCTAATAGACTGTAATTTAGATTTTGTGATTGAACAGCACAAAACCAGGTGAGTTTGATTCTTTCTCCTGTATCTTTTCTAGTCTATCCCAACTACCATAAAGGGTTTGAACTGATTTTATATTGTTTTTTTGATGAGAAAACCTCCAGCCCTTCTCTTCTAATTGATGTGCCAACTTGAAATTCAGTGATCATCTTGCATCCAATTTCTACAGTCCAGACCCCTGCAGTTCTTTGGATACTATTGTTCCCAGATTCCTGAAGCACCTCCCTGCCAAACTGGTCATGTCTCCAACAACTGTTTAAATTTTTAATTATGCAAATTTTCAACTATTCCCAAGAACACCTCTCCCAATCAATCTAACATGAGCCACCTTTCACCAAATCCTTCCCCCAAACCTCACCTCTATGGATTGAAAACTCTTCCACACTCTGATCTTCTTGACATGCCCTCAAATACCATCTGAAGCTACACCCTTGAATAGGAAACCTACCAGCCAGATGCCTGTCAAACACCAATCAATGTGGCAGAATTTATTTGATTTGCAACATCATGTCTCTCAGAACAGTATTTGCTGGAACTTGAAGAACACTTCAATCAAATATCTCAATCTGAGGCTGGCCTGGATTTTACTTTGCAACATCACAATGCTTCAATAATCAAACAAATCTTGGCAGATATTCAACACAGCGAAAGGGGTTGTATCGGTTACAACCCCCCACAATAACTCCGCCCTGAGGCGACCAATATAACATCAGTCTCCTTGACCGATTTTATATTGGCCAGGCCCACCAATACATTTTTCCTTTGTTCTAATGT